TCCTTTTCTTCCTTTGTCGTCTTCTCATTCACCCAATTCTCCTTTCTTCTCCTTTCCTTTTTATGCTTTTTTTTTCTTTTTTTTTCCTTATTTGTTTTTTTTTTCCGATATTTTTTAGTTTTTAATCTCTTTCACCTCCACTTGTTTTAGCGATAGGAATAAAAAGAAGTTGTAAATCTTATCTCTGAATACGATCGTTCGCTCAAAATAGCAAAACGAACTCTCCAAACCCTCCGCGCGCGAGTTCGATCCACCCCTGCTCTGTTCTGTTCCGCCTGTGAGTCACTACTTATTGCTTTAATAACTGGCCGGTTCAGTTAAACCGGCAAGGTCCAGTTTTCACACAAATTGAGCTTCAATACTACCACAAAAACTCAAATTGAACATGAGTTCGAGCTTAAATAAGATTTTGAAAAACAAGCTCAATTTGCTCAACAGCTCAGTTTGGTTCATTTGCAATCCTAGTGTACATCTAGTCTAGTTGAACAAGGCTGCCTAAATTTTGAGATCAAGAGTTTTATTTAAAACTCAGCCAAGATTCATATCAATTCAATAGTCATTTGTTCGAGTTCATTTGAGTAAGTCTTATTTTAATTTAAAATTTTTAATAATTGACTAAAATTATTATCTAGTATAAAAGTATTCAAATATATTATTATAAAATAAATTAAATATAAATGCATAAACATGTATGCATATGTCATTTTATGTGCGACATAATTATGGAATATATATATATATATATATATATATAATATATATATAATATATTATATATATATTAATATATATATATATGTATATATATATATATATGTATGTATGTATTAAACACACATATAAATATTGTATATTCATACCTTTGTTGTTATCGTACGGTGAATGGCGCACCATGGCGGCAAAGGGTCCATTTGGAGCCTGGGCGCATAGCGGCACGGCGCGGCGCGCCGCTATTTTGAACATGGCGGCAAGCTTATATAAAAATTTAAAAATAATAAGCATGAAATTATGAAATATTATTTAAAAT